CTTCGAAAGTCTCTCTATGGCTTGAAACAGGCCTCTCGGCAGTGGAATATTAAACTATCTTCCACTCTCTTGAATTCTGGTTTCAAACAATCTGCCGCAGATACATCAGTGTTTGTGCGATATGTTGATCGACGCATCACAATTGTTCTAATATATGTGGATGATTTGCTAATTGCTGGGAATGATTCTGTCATGCTCGATTCTACAAAGTCTCTGTTACGAGATCACTTCCAGCTCAAGGATCTTGGTCCTCCGCGTTTCTTCTTGGGAATCGAAATTTCTCGTTCTGCATCTGGTATACATTTATGCCAGAGAAAGTATACATTGGAGCTTCTTGAGGATTATGGTCTGCTTGGGTCAAAACCTGTTATTACTCCAATGGAAACAAAGGCGAAACTGTCTCAGAGTTCAGGAAATCTCTTGGCTGATGCATCATACTATCGTCAATTGGTGGGGAAGCTGATTTATCTCTCAGTTACTAGACCTGACATCTGTTTTGTTGTGCAGAATCTGAGCCAGTTCATGTCTCAGCCCAGAACTCCTCATCTCCATGCTGCTTTTCGAGTTCTGCGATATCTTAAATCCTCCCCTTCCCAAGGACTTTTTTACTCTGCTTCTTCTTCCATGACACTTAAAGCCTATTCTGATGCCGATTGGGGTTCCTGTCCGGATACACGCCGATCCGTTACTGGTTATTGTGTGTTTTTGGGCAGCTCAATGGTGTCTTGGAAATCCAAGAAACAGACCACCGTTTCCCGTAGCAGTGCAGAATCAGAATATCGGGCGTTGGCTCAAACATCTTGTGAACTTATCTGGCTTGCTAATCTGCTTACTGATCTTCACGTCCCTTGCTCGAAGCCCTTTAACATTTACTGTGATAATCAGTCGGCTCTTCATCTTGCTAGCAACCCGGTCCATCATGAACGGACGAAACACATTCAACTAGACTGCCACTTCATTCGAGAACATATTTCAGCTGGTCTACTCAAGACATTACATGTACGTTCTCAGGATCAAGTGGCGGACATTTTTACGAAACCATTGGCATCTGATCAACTTCAGCACCTACTCTTCAAGATGGGAATACAAGATTTGTATTCTCCATCTTGAGGGGGAGTCTTATCTGCCATATAACCACCTCTGCACTTGTTGCCAGGATATTACTCGACACATCTCTG